AAGTTTTACTTTACTATTAATTTGAAAGCATTATATGGCTTCTGACATTTGTGAATTTTAGCCAGATAGAGGTGTGTTTAGTTATACATACTTAAATATAAATCCAACTTCTGTGGGCCCTAAATGTATCTGGCACTGATATATAATTGTATTCACCAGAAAGATCATCAGGGTGCACTCACTCAGTGAATCTGTTTGTTTACTTATGGCCCTTGTTTATTTTTATGTTTTGGTGAGATTTTCATTTCTGGTTACATGTCTAGATGGTTTAAATGCAAGGCATGTCTCCCAGCTGAAGATTCCTGTGTGTAATACCAGGACTACTTTATATTCACAAAGACTGACAGTGCTAATGATGGTTTGTCCCTGGATGTTTACAGAGCCATTTGTTGGTTTGTATCTCTGTGGCATTTCCAAAATCAAGAAGTTATTTTCATTTTGCTGTTTCACATTTCTGGAGGTGTTTTTCATTTTTCTTTTTTTCCCTCTATTAACTTTGGCAGAATAGGTGAGATAGAAGTTTATAAAAAGTGTCATTAAATTGTCTTTTGTTAGAAGACTGTTTTACATTCCCTTTCCTTTAGTCTTCTAAAAATATTTATGTGTTCCAGCATGTGAGATTGAATATTTCATTAGGAAGTATTAGGGCAGTCATTTTAAAGGCAGATTTTAAAGAACTTTGATCACCAATATATTATGTATGCTGAAAACTTAGGTAAGAAGGGAGTGTAGATTTGTATTGCTGAAATTTTCCCCATCTTTGTCTTCCACGTCGTTTTGTTGTGGTTAAATATTTAAGACTATCTTCCGAGGGAAAGAGAAACTTGACATTGTGATCAAAATACTGTAGCAGCCATGAACTGCTTTTCTTTTACTTCTGTCTCCGCTTTCTGCATTAAACAGTGGTGATGACCTGGCAATACCCACTGTCTGAAATAACCTGGTTTTTTTCCTTAAGTAGATTGAGATATTGATCACTGCAGCCCCATCTTATTGCCACATGAATTGCTAGGAAAGGTAAGAGTACGAAGATAATTCTGTTTTTGGTTCAATCAAATTTGTATCCTTGCAAACATACCAAGATCCAATGTCATATTGCTGTATACATCTATATGATATATATATAATATAAAATATGATATTGTAAGAAAAGCCAGCCCTTTTTTTTAATTTGGCTATAAATGCTAAATTACTCTCCAGATTTAGCATGTATTTGGTTTGTTTTGGCAGAAAGTGGAATGGGAATGTGTGGAGTGAGGAAGAGAGGCTAGAATTGACCTGAGATTTTTGTTGCGTCCATATCAATCTGTGATGGTCTATGATGGAATCGCAGAAGTGATTAGAGCCTGAGATTTGAGTCCTAACAGTATGAAAGAGACTTTAGAAACCAACACTTTGTTTTGCAGTAATGGAAGCTGAAATCCAGAGAACTGAAGTGATATGCACTTAGTGGCTGAGTGGGAAATACAACCTGGATTTCTTGATATCTAGCACAGAACTCTCTTTAATATATCTTCTATGCAGATGTGATGAATTTCCATAAGATAACATTTAGTAGAATTTCAGTGATGAATAATGATTAAGCTATTATTACTAGCCTTTCCAATTAATAAGTGATAAACTGGAAGCATAATTTACCATTTAAGAATTTTTTTTCTAAATCTTTAAGTCATCTTTGAAAACATCTTTGGAAATATGAAATAGATATTTCATTTGTGACTCTTCTAATTGAAAAGAAATGTGGATATCTGTATTCTCCATATAGTAAATTATAACAGAATAAATAGGAAATGGCTCCTACATTTTACGTTCTAGTTCCATGACAGGGTGAACCATATTTTTGGATGTCTTGGGTTTAGTTCTTTAGTTTAAAACCGGTTTCACCATTCTGCATTTTTCATAAAGTTCAATTGAGGAAACATGCTTCAGGGCATGCAAAAAAGCTGCCAAAATGGTTTTGGGAAAACAGTCATGCCAGAATTCTATACTGTCACTAGATTAATCATATTTCTTGCTTTGATTCTACTCACGCACTAAGTGGAAGCCTGTGGAAAACAAGGAAAAATAGGAAACCCAAAAGGAAGGAAAATCATTGAAAAAGGAGCCACATACTTTAAAAAAGGGAATAGATAGAGCTGTAGTTCCAAAGTTCACTCCCATAGTTCATTGATTATTCATATACTTTAGTATTTTAGAAGGATTCACTTGCATTATAATTAGTAAATTTGTGTTCTCTGCATTACTAGGAATGTAAACATCGTAAAATCCTCTTATTACAAAGTCTTGGCAGGTCACGGTTGCTCACGCATGTAATCCCAGCACTTTGAGAGGCCGAGATGGGCAGATTGCGAGGTCAGGAGATTGAGACCATCCTGGCTAACCCTGTCTCTACTGAAAAAAAAAAAAATTAGCTGGGCATGGTGGCGTGCACCTGTAGTCCCAGCTACTCAGGAAGCTGAGGCAGGAGAATCACTTGAACCCGAGAGGCGGAGGTTGCAGTGAGCCAGGATTGTGCCACTGCACTCCAGCCTGGGTGACAGTGCAAGACTCCATCTAAAAAACGAAACAAACCAACAACAACAACAACAACAACAAACAACGAAAAAACAAAATCTTTGTATCCCTAGTGACCATTTAATCACCATTGAGATGCATATCCCGTGAGATCCTAGAGCCTTTTACTGTAGTCTTGGATATTGGTTTCAGTAAAGTTTCTTGAGAGAATCAGATTAAATATAATTTAATACATTAATGACAGTAGCAATTCTGTTTTTGCTGCTACTGCTGTTGTACCAATACTGCTACTAGGATGATGGGGTGGAGTGGTAGTTATCTTGTGTAAGACATTGTGTTTAGCGCATCATATTAATCAACTCCCATAATTTAATTCTTAAAACAAGGCTACTGTCATCTCCATTTACAAATGAGAAATTAAAGATTCATGTGGGTAAATGACTTTCCCAAAGTCACACAGCTAACAGATAAGTCAAACTCTTGAGTTCACACTTTCCACCATTATAACATATACAGTTTATTACACAACCTTTCTGTTTCAAATCATTAGGTGCATTATTTGGATTAGATTAGTGAACAAATTTAGACAGTCATATGTAGGCCTTGCGCTCCTAGAAATGAAAATAACTTAGTTTGCCCAAATAAAAAGTTTTAAACAAGTCTTTTGAGAAGAAAAATGTATGTTTATTTTTTATAGATAAGCAATTTTGGTGAAAAAGAAATCTACAAATATCTACCAAATTAATTTTTAAGTAGTATCCATGAAGGTCCTTATTATATGCTTTATTTAACTACTAGGTACTGAAGAATTGTACAGAAACATGCCACACCATGACTTATGACAAATTATTATGTCATATTTAAATGAGAATATGACACACTGAAAAAATGACATCATGAATTATTTAAAGCCATCCCAGTATTGGAGCTAATATAGTTTTCTAAAACATCACGGATCATACTGTCACCTGTCTATACATCTTCTTTGTGATGAATACTTGGTTTCTATATTAATTTCAAACAACTGAGTCAACATTATAATTTCCATTAATTCCAAAATCACCAAGAACCATTTCACTTCATATTTTAGTAAAAAATCTATTTAACAATAAATCACTTTCCTTTTTCTATTTTAATTATCTTTGTTGCACTATGACATTAGCTGTGTACATGCCGTCAGAAATTTTCTCCTTTAATTTTCTTAAAAATATAATTCAAAGTTGTGTTTTAATTTGTACCTTATCTAGTAATAGAATCAGTTTTTCTTTTCACTTAATAATGATAAATAATGATATTTTAATTAGTATTTTGGTAAACTACTCATAGAAATCCCCTTACTCCTTTCTGACACTTTTAATTAAAAAAGAGCAGCATTTAGAAGGAATTAGTTAAAAGAAAGACGTCATTGGTGTTCAGCTAAAAGTTGAAAATAAATTTCATAAAAGATGTGACTAATAAGGAAAATGAGATGTCAGATGAGTACTTTTTCAGACAATTGTGCTTAAGTAGAATACAGACAATTGTGTGTAAATAGAAGTTACAGCAACACATCTTATCTACGAGGTGGCTTGCTACCTATTTTCACAAAAGACTCCAGGGAAAATATAATTATATGTCACAATGTTTCCATGGTATAATGATACTATTTATTCTGTAGTTTTTCTTGCTCAGAAAAGGAAACTAGAGAATCTTACAGTGTGGTTCTTAAACTTATCTTTGGCTTTCATTATTATTGTCAAACATAAAATTTTTATACTGCTAAAAATAATAATGATGAAAATCTTATATTATTATCATTAAATGTAGAAGAGTTATTGATGACTCAGAGAAGATAGAAACCTGAATTTGCCACTCTGTTACCTTGGAAGGGTCTTTCCATCTTTGTGAGTCTCAGTTTTTTTATCTGAAAAAGTAAGGAGCCGTACTAAATGAGCTTTGGGTTATGTTCTGCTTTACATGTTCTTATGTTTGCTAGGAGAGAATCATTTTTACTTAATAGGCTGTAAAGAAAAGTGTTAGAGAAAAGGCACAAAGTCAGATTTTGTAGCCAATAGCCCAGTCATAGAGGAAGATAAGAATGTTTATACTCTTTTCTCTTTTACTCCATAGTTTCTGTGATAGACACATGCAGTATCTCATGCAGTTGGTATTGATGGGCTGTTTTAGATTCGATGGTTTCAAATAGGATATTGATCTATGGCACAGTGTTCTTTCCTTGAGGGTACCTCTGAGAACATTTAGGAGGTTTCATCTTCCTGAGGTACTTTGAAACAGTCTGTGCTCTTACCTCACACATCCATAGATAATTTTCAATTCAAATTAAAAACAAAACCTACCCTATTAACATGTCTTGCTGTGTTTTGTCCAGATTTTGCCTTATTAAGTAAATAGCAATGCTTCTGGTTTTCAGAAACAAATGTGTTTTGGATATTTCTGGGGGAGACAGAAGCTTCTTACCATTCAATTTCATGTATTTTTTGTTGCAGAACTTCAGATGGTGGCAAAGTGGTTGGCACCATAGAAGTCAGTGTCGTGAAGATGGGGGAGATTGAAGATGGGGAAACTGACCACATCACCACAGATGTACAGGGACAAAAGGTAGGATCTTAGTCTGCTCACTGCACAAATTAAATTAAAAATGATCAGCTTTGCCAGATGTCTGTCTCACCAACACCTCTGTGGGGTTTGAAAGCTCATTATCAAAACCTAAATGAGAAAACAGCTCTGAAATTGGAGTACAATATGTGTGTTTCAGCCTCTGAACCAGAGGACCTATTTGCTTAGAACTATGCAAAGCAATGCTCCTTTCAGAAGTAACTTCCTCTTCCCTGCCAGCTCCCTCATTGACACTGCCTCTTTTCAGTTGGAACAAATGTATTGATCATTGTCACATTTTACCATAATTAACCTATGTGAGATGCCAGAAGATCTGGGAGGGCAATTGCCCAAAAATAACATGTTCTCTATTCCCAAAACCTTCTTTGGAAAGATATGCAATTTTAATTTGTATTTCAGCTTTACATGAAGGGGGCAGATTTAACAAGAACTTTGTGCCTTATGAAATTGAGGAGAGAGAAAGCCCGAAATAGTATTCATTGAAAGAACAGCTCTGGAGGGGGGACAACCCCAACCGAAGGGGAAGCTGCTTCCTTGAAGCACAGAATAAAGGCCTGATATATATAAATAAATGTCTAGGATTTTCTGTTTCTTTCTGTTCCTTTTCACTAAGACAGAGAAACTCTATGTAAATATTAGCCTAAATTCCTTTCTTAGGAATGCCATTGCTTGTTTTATTAAGACATTTAAGCACTTGAGGTAGACTTACAAACTGCTGGTAGTTTCTTTTAGGAAAATAAATTTTATACACTATAATTTCTACCTTTTAATAAAGGAGCATTAAAAAAATATTTTTAGTGGCTGGGCATAGTGGCTCACGCCTGTAATCCCAGCACTTTGGGAGGCTGAGGTGGGTGGATCATGAGGTCAGGAGTTCAAGATCAGCCTGGACAAGATGATGAAACACCTTCTCTATGAAAAATACAAAAGTTAGCCAGGTGTGGTAGTGGGTGCCCGTAAACCTGACTACTGGGAGGCTGAGGCAGGAGAATTTCTTGAACCTGGGGAGTGGAGGATGCAGTGAGTCAAAATCGCACCACCGCACTCCAGCCTGGGTGACGGAGTAAGATTTCATATCTCTCTGTATCTCTCTCTCTCTATATATATATATACGTATGTATATATACACACACACATATATGTACACATATATATACACACACATACATATATATACATATATACACACATACATATATATACGTACATATATACATACATATATACACATATATATATATACATGCATATATTTTTAATAAACAATCATTGTATATGCTTATGGGGTACAATGTGATGTTTTGATATATGCTTGCATTATGGAATGATTAAATCCGGCTAATTAACAAATCTATCGCCTCACATACTTATTTTGTATATGTGGTAAAAACATTTACAATTTCTTCTTTTAGCCATTTTGGAATCTACAATGCACTATTCTATAGTGACCATTCTGCTCAGTAGCTTACCAAAGCTTATTCATCTTGGCTAACGGAAACTTGTACCCTTTGATGAGCATCTCCCATTTCCCTAAACTTTCCCTCCCCCACCCTCTGATAACTATCATCCTGCCCTCTACTTCTGAGTTTGACTCTTTTAGATTCCACAAATGTAAGCCAAAAAAAAATGACCGAGGCAGGTCTCAATTAATTTAGATGTTTATTTTGCCAAGGTTGAGGCCGCACCTGGGAAAAAACACAAATCAGAGGAGCATCTGTGATCTCTGCCTTTTCCAAAGAGGGTTTTGAGGACTCCAGTATGTAAAAGGGAAAGAGCGAGGAGGAGGGGAAGAGGAGAGAAAAAAAGAGGGGGGGAGGGCAGGTAGTGAGGCAAGTGGTCACATAGTGAGGCTTTCATTAATGCTCAGTGAATCTACATTTTATATGTGAAAAGGAAAAGAGGAATAGCCAATTATTCATTCCTCTTATATTCAGTAAATCTACATTTTACTTAAGATGAAATAGAAGTCAGTTATATGTTTGTCTCAGGGTGGGCAGAGGGATGATTTTCTAGTCTTGTCCTTTTCTAGTCTTGTCCTTGTCCCCTGTCTGTGAAGATATAAGTTGTTAATTTATATCGTTAGGGTGAGATTCAGCAAAGCTCTGTACTCAGGCTATTTTGTAGGTCCGTATATATATATTGAAAGAGGTGGGGCCCACAAGGAATTGTGAGCAATTTGTGAAGTAGGGCATAGGGGAGAGATATGTCCTTCTATCATTGCAGCTATCTGTTTGATGGGGAAAAGAAACAAAGGCAGTTTTTTGTGTGATTCAGTTCCCAATCTTAACTTTCCCTCTGGTATAGTGAGCCTGGGTTCCAAGAATCTGTTTTCTTTCACAATCTATAAATGAGATGACACAGTATTTGTCTTGTGCCTGGCATATTTCATCTAGCATAATATCATCCAGGTTTATCCATGTTGTCACTAGTAACAGAGCTTTCCCCCTTTTCAAAGCTGAGTAGTTTTTCATTGCGGGTAAATACCACGTTTCCTTTTTCCATTCCTCTGATGATGGACACCAAAATTGCTTCCATATCTTAGTGATTGTGAATAATGTTGCAGGGAACATGAGTGAAGATATCTCTTTAGCATACTGATTTCAATTCCTTTGGCTATGTACCTAGAGTGGGATAGCTGGGTTTTATGGTAGTTCAATGTTTAGTGTTCTGAGGAGGCTCCATATTGTTCTCCATAATGGTTGTATTAATTTATAGTCATGCCAACAAAGCATAAGCGTTCCTTTTACTTCACACCGTCACCGGTACTTATCTCTCATCATTTTGATAATAGCCATTCTGACTTCTGTGAGATAGGATTTCATTATAGTTTTAATTTGCATTTTCCTGATAATCAGTGATGATGAGCAATTTTTAATGTATCTATTGGCCATGCGTGTGTCCTTTTTTGAGAGTGTTTATTGAGGTCCTTTGCCCATTTTTTATTGAGCTGTTTTCTTGCTACTAAGTTGAATTTCTTATGTAGTTTGAATATTAGCTCCTTGTCAGATATATAGTTTGCAAATATTTTATCCCAATCCATGTGTTGTTTCTTTAATGTTTCTTTGGGTGTACAGAAGCTTTGCAGTTTGATGCAATCCCATTTGTTTATTTTTGCTTTTGTTCCTGTGCTTTTGGGGTCATATCACAGAAATCTTGCCCAGACCAATGTCATGGAGCATTTCTAAATGTTTTCTTCCTTCTACTTTTATAGTTTTAGGGCTTACTTTTCAGTCTTAATTCATTTTGAGTTGATTTTTGTGCATGAGCATCGCATGAGATAAGGGTCCAATTTTATTTTTCTGCATGTGGACATCTAGTTTCCCCAGCACAATTTATTAAATAAATTGTACTTTCTCCGTTCTGTATTCTTGTACCTTTGTTGAAAACAAATTGACCATATGTATGGGTTTATTCCTGGGCTTTCTGCCCTGTTCCATTGGTCAATGTGTCTGTTTTTACACCGGTAATATACCATTTTGTTTACCACAGCTTTGCTTTATAATAGATTTTGAAGTCAGCTAACATGATGCCTCCAGTTTTATTCTTTTCACTCAAGATACCTTTGACTCTTCAAGGTCTTTTGTGCTTTCTTAACAATATTAGTGTTTTTAACATTTATTTCCATGAAAAATGACATTAGAATATTGATAGGGATTCATTTAATCTGTATATTCCTTTGGTAGTATAGACATTTTAACAGTATTAATTTTTCTAGTCCATGAGCATGGGATACTTTTCTATTTATCTGTTATCTGCAATTTCTTTCATCATTGTTTTCTAGTTTTCAGTATACAGATCTTTTAAATCCTTGGTTAAATTTACTTCCAAGTATTTTTTTAATACTATTGTTAATGGGATTGCTTTCTTAATTTCTTTTTCAAATGGTTTGTTGTCAACGTAAAGAAATACTACTGATTTTTGTGAGTTGTGTATCCTTCAACTTTACTGAGTTATTAGTTTTAACTATTCTTTTTTTGGTGATGTTATGAGGGTTTTCTACATATACAATTATGTTATTAGCAAACAAAGACTATTTCCCTTCATCCTGTCTTATTTGGATGCCTTTTATTTCTTTTTCTTCTCTGATTGTTCCAGCTAGAACTTTCAGTGTAACGCTGAATAGAAGTGTTGAGAATGGATATCTTTGTATCATTCTTGATCATAGAAGAAAAGCTTTATAAATGATCATTTAAAAAACTAATAAGGCCCATTGTGACTTATTTTCTGGTTTCATGTCTCTTATCTTGGAGCATGTTTGATTTTTCTTACTTAGGAAACTCCTCCATGGGAGATGGCATTTATCCAACACTTAACAAATTATTATTTTTTATTTTATTTTATTTATTTTTGATTATACTTTAAGTTCTGGGACACATATGCAGAATGTGCAGATTTATTACATAGGTATACATGTGCCATGGTGGCTTGCTGCACCTGTCAACCTGTTATCTATATTTGGTATTTTTCCTAATGCTATCCCTCCCCTAGCTTCCTACCCCCTGACAGGCATGGATGTGTGATGTTTCCCTCCCTGTGTCCATGTGTTCTCATTGTTCAACTCCCACTTATGAGTGAGAACATGCAGTGTTTGGTTTTCCATAATTGTGTTAGTTTGCTGAGAATGATTTTCTAGCTTCATCCATGTCCCTGCAAAGCACATGAATTCATCCTTTTTTATGGCTGCGTAGTATTCCATGGAGCATATGTGCCATGTTTTCTTTATCCAGCCTATCACTGATGGGCATTTGGGTTGGTTCCAAGTCTTTGCTAGTGTGAACAGTGCTGCAATAAACATATAGGTGTGTGTGTCTTTATAGTAGAATGATTTATAATCCACTGGACATATACCCAGTAATGGGATTGCTGAGTCAAATGATATTTCCTGTTCTAGATCCTTGAGGAATCGCCATGCTGTCTTTCACAATGGTTGAACTAATTAGACTCCTACCACCAGTGTAAAAGCATTCCTATTTCTCTACATC